GTGGACTCACAATTGAGTAAAACAAGAATGAGAGATTCTGTTAGCAACTCTATTATGATTATAATTATTATTATTATTATGACGTTTGTTCAAATATAATATTTAGTTCTACCAACAGGTCCGAATAACATCAAGGTCTTGTTTAGAATACGTCTTTATCTGTTGAAGAGTACACAAGATACCAGTAGGGGTTATCTTTTATTTTTCTTTTTTAAAGGACCTCCAACTGCTTATCAGACAATTCAAATAAATAGCAAAACTCTGAATCAGATCAAGGAAAAGTAGAAACTCAAAAACTTAAAATTCTATGCAGGATTAAAGAAAACTACATACACATTCACAGTAGAGTTCACTCAACAGTTTAAATAGGGATAAGAAGCCTATTAAGATTTCAACTACTACTTAAACTATTACAAACCTTCAAAAATAGAGACTCTAGTAGGATTAGAGTTTGTCCAAGAAGAGTGAGGATGAAAATGACAGATGCAATGAGAAGGGACAGTCAACTCAGAAAGGAAAACAATGGGCAGTCAATAAATAACCAATAGTACGTAGAAACTAGTCTTGTCATGAGAGAATTCCAAAACTCTGTAAAACAGAATTCAAAACACAATGCCTAAATCAAAATCATTAGAGTCTAACATCAGTCTATAACAACAGCATCCTCACATTTTCAGATCACAACTGATTCACACTCATTCCGTTCTACAAACAATTGCAGGTAATCCTTAGTATGGTTGTCCTCTGTTGGGATGTACTATTAAACCTAAACTGGCGTTATCTGCTAAAAAACTTTGATGCCTTTTGTGAAGTTGATTTTTGTTCATCAAAAGATGGAACATTAGTTATTTATGCACTTTCAGACCTTCAGACCCTTTGCCACAGAATAAATCTATCAGTCTGAATCCTACCTTACAATTGGTAATTTTCTCGCTAACGCTAAGAGCTTGGGCCCAAGTTTACTTACTCTATGATTCTTATTATGATTTCTGGATATGAGGTTAAATTTAAACAAACAACAATGTGCAAGAACAAAGATAAGAGAGATTTTGAATTGAACAGTGGTGCAATCACTGAGTCCTCATTAGCTCCATAATCCAATTTGCTGCTGAAATATAACATATTAACATAGACAAGGCCACCTTTCTATCTTATAAGCCAAGCCACAGTTTTATACATATATTGTGAGCAAAATCAACCCTAACTATGGCACCTATTTACTTTAAAGCAATCTGAGAGCAAGCAATTGAAGAACAAATATATAACAACAGAAACAGATAAAAAATAAATATAAATATAAAGCTTAATAACCAATGCACTTACAGGATAGTTTTCATTCCTCTTTATGAGATTAACATGAACAGAAGATTTCCGGTCCGCAGGTTCCAGCTCTTTAGGGCACTCTGATTTACCGATGCTCTGCATTAAGATACAAATTATTAACTGTCATTCCAAGAGCTCTACTTCCATTTTTTTTTTCTTTTCTAATTTCAAAGATAAAAATTTTATTCCTCAACCGTGTCAATTGTACAAGCAGGGAGAAACAAAATGAACAAAAATAAACTAAAGAGACCTCCCACAAGCTAAAACTTCAGAATTATGTTATTCCAATTTTGTTGAATAGTTACATAAGCTGAAACTTCAGCATAATGTCAATACAGTTTATGTTGCATCACTCTACTTTCATAATATTTCATCATATAATGAGGTTTTTCTACCTCAATAAAAGGGGCATTTTCAGGATCATCCATCCTCCTCAAAGGGCCATCATTAACAGTGAAACCATTTCTCCAGAAAACAATGTTGTGCACAACTGGTCCAGGCTGCTGTTGAGAAGTTGGTACAGTCTCGCCCGAGAGCAATCTTCCGGTCCCAGTAAAGCTTCTAGAGCTTGCAGATGGCTGAATTTCCAAGGGTCCTTGAACAGAACCTTGCTGACGGGCTTGGTCAAAGATTGCATCAACATCATTACCCTTCGATGGATCTTGGACTAGCATACCACTGAAAGTAGCATATCATATTAATAGTCAGTCAGTTATGGAATTCTCCCATTAAAAGACTACCTATTAGACAAAAGTACAGGCATAAACCCACAGCATACGTCCGTGAAACATGGACACAGGCATAGGGTTTTAAATCCCTCAAAATCATAGCAAAAATATCAGTTTAAATCCACCGAAATCATAGCACAGCTCGGTTTAATGTTGTGAAAAGCAAGAAAGAGCAATCAAATAAAAACAATCTAGGGTTTTTTAATTCGATAAATGGGAAAATTGACGAAAGAGAACCTTTTCTCGCCCCCGGTGTAGTACTCCTGGGGCACATCGGAATCACTGTCGGGGTCACGAGCAGGGGGACGGTTCAGGTCGGAGAGAGTACGTATGCCACCGGGCCTGCTGCCTGAGGGTTTCGCGGGATTCTTATCGTGCGAAGACATTATTCTAGATTTGGGGACGATTGTGTTGCAGGGGTGTAGGATAGGGAATTTTCAGAGAGCAAATAGTTGCAGAAGGAAGTAGAATATAAAGAAGATTGCTAAACAAGCTTTTATAGAGTCGTCTAGAATAACAATTAATTGTGATTGTGATTTAAATAGTTATCGGCAATTGTGATTACATATGGACTAGTACAGAGCCCGTGCATCGAGTGCACAATTTTAAGACTATTTATCCAGGTTTATAATTATATACATGAATAAAGAAAAATATACGGGATATATATAGTACGTGACCCGTGCGAAGCACAGGATATATTTATTTGGATAATATTATATTATAAGATTCAATATTCAATAAAAGTTTATAATACCCAAGAAAATTGTACAATGTTCAATAAAAGTTTTATAATATTCAAGTGAAGTCTTAAAGTCTCTTGTACATTAAGACTACTAACAAAATAATATTTTAATCAATGATTTTCCTTTCCTTGTAGCCAAATTGTGAATGTGATTTGACGAGTACAACAAATCGATATATAGCTGACTTGCTTTTTTCATTGTAGTTTTTTTTTCTTTTTATAATGAATTTAAAGATATTCTAAAACATAGCAAAAATTAATTTTTTTATTACAATTAGGAATTTTACTAAATAAAGACTCTCAATCTATGGTGTTAATGAACGTTTAAGTCTAAAAAATTAGGAATTTTTACCTCTTTTAATCAACGTTTAAGTCTAAAAAACAATAGAGTTATTACAAGTTTTTTTCTACATCTTTTAAAACATTAAATATGAGCATGTTAGGGCTAGCTTGTAAAACAATTAATATATTATCTCAGTAAAACATTTATACTAATAAAAATTTAATTTTAGCATATAAATTTATCCCTTGATATAAGAGAAAGTAACAGTTTTACTTATTGTTGTTCACCATATAATATTTAATTATTATTTTATTATATAATAAAAAAGAAATATTGCTAAATAGTGTAGTAGAATTGTTATAAAATTATATGATTTTTTTATTTTTTTTTACAATATGGATTAAATATTTTTTTATGATTTGATAATATAAACAAATTTATACTTAACTTTGACAAATAAAACAAATAAATACTTTAGTAAGTATTTAATGTATATACTAAATAGAAATATATTTGGTATAATCAAATACCAAATATAATCAAATAAGTCAAAGTGTACATTTTTATTTGGTATTTGATTTTTTATTATTAAAATCTTTTTATTATACTTACCTTTTTAAAATAAAACAAATAATAAATTAATTAAATAAATAAAATATTATAATACCAAAATAGTAATGACATTTAATGCAGTTGACTTTTCTGGATAGTAAATGTAGTAAATAGAATCTCCTTTTATATAAGTATAGATATGATATTATATTATATTGCTCAAAATAGTAATGCATTTATTGCATTGACTTTTCAACTTACTAAATTTCGTAAATGGTACCCCTTATTATATAAGTATAGATTTTGATTGGTTTTTTTTTTTTTTTTAATTATGGTTATTTTGAAAAAGGTGGTATATTTAATTATTAATAAAAATATAAATTTTAATTAAAATAATATTTAATATAAAATAATTAAAATTGATTTGATGTAAAAATAGAGAAAAAATAATTTGAAGTGATATTTAGTTAAAATTAGTGAGTGGATGAATAATTTATTAAAGTTGATGCCATGTCTAAAAATGATTGTTGATATTACTTATTTACATTGATAATAATGATGATAGTGAAGTTGAGCTAAAGCTCAGTTAAATTTGAATTTTGATTTATTTTTTATTGGTTAAGTTTATATCCAATCACACCCTAATTTGTTGGTAGATGTAATGTTATTGATTTTAATTTAAAAATTGTATTAAAAAATATAAGTAGGAAACACATTATTTCAGCTTGATTAGCACAAAGAGTCGACCTGAAGCTGGAACCGGTTTGGGTGGATGTCTTGGATCTGGTGACATCAGACCCAGTCAAAACCCTATATTGACCTCGATCGATCCACCCGTATCCACCTGGTTTGACCCAGTCTTTTTTTTTTAAAATTACTTTGTATTGTAAAAATAAAATTTATGTTTAAATATTTATATGATAAATATTATTATAATGTATAATATAATATTATTAACATTTTGATATACAATATTTATATACAAAACTTTTATTTCTTTTATGTATAGTTCTATGATATATATATATATATATATTTTTTTTAAATTAAAATTAATTTTTCGATTCAACAATTGACCCGGTGATCCGACAGTTGTTGCGGTGAGCCGATGACCCGGTGATCCGACAGTTGTCTAGGACGATTTTACAAACTATGAAGATAACGTGATAAGGGAAAAATGAATGAACAAATGTATTTTTAAATTGGTAGATTAAATAATGATATGTTACAAGCATCTAATTGCACCCTTAAGATTGATTAGTTGCAGGAACACAATTTGGTGTGCGACGAGTTCTATAATAATAAACCCCTAGGTCTGCTTAAAAAGTTATACATTTTTCATAATCTTATAAGATAAATTAGATAGTCGTATTTTAGCTTACAAAATTAGGGATTGATTATGAAATAAAATGTAAATGTTTTATTAGGATAAAAAAGGTAGAGTTCAAAGCTACTAGTGATGATCTATACTTATATTAAAGGGAGTCTTATTTATCAAATTTAGTAGCTAGAAAAGTCAACAGCATTTATTGCCATTACTATTTTCGTATTATACAGTTTTATTTAATATTTGTTTTTCTGTTACGATATTTAAAAAAAGATATGGTTAAATTCTCTCATCATTAATTACTTTCCATTAATTACAATTTATTTATTTATTATTTTCTTAGTAAAAACGGACCAACATTAATTGATTTTCTTAAAATATGGAAGTTCTTGCTTTATTTTTGTACAGAAAATCGGGCTTCATTATAGAAATTTGTTCAATTACACAATAAATTTTCTATGATATAATTATTTTTTATGGGAACTTTTTTTTAACAGAAAATATGGCATTTCAATAAGATTTTCGATTTTTTTAGATTGATCGTTATCATGCTATGAAATTGAACATTCCAATATACCTTAAAAAAATATACACGTGGTGTATACATCAGTTAATAGAAATAGAATCCTCATATTTTTATATATACGTATGTAATTTTTCTATTACCAAATTTAATTGATAGTTGTTGTATTATGAGTTTTTTCATAATTGTTGGTTGTTGTGATATTTAGTTTGGTTGGTGTCGAAAAAATTCTAATCTATATATATAATAAGAATAATCATTACAATAAAAATTAGAAAAATATTGATATTAGAAGAGATTGAGTTCATGGCTTTTCTTAAATCAAAATTGTTTAATTATTATACAAAATTAAATTTTACAAAAATATATGTGTATATTTTGTACATTATTTATACACTTTAATTTTAAATTTATTTACATATTTTAAATTGATTACTTATATAAATAATACCAACATGCATTAAATATATTTCATTACATAAAATAAAAAGAACAAGAAGACGTGTAACTTGTATAACTTTATAAATAATAATGACATTATATGGCAACAGAGTTTAATAATTAACTATTATACAGTGAATAAGAATACGTAAAATTGTTATTTTCTCTTATATCAAAGAATAAATATATCTAATAAAATTAAATTTATATTAGTGTAAATGTGTTAGTGAGATAATATATTAATTATTTTACAAGTTAGCCCTAACATGCTCACGTTTAATGTTCTGACTAATAAAACAACACTGATTAAAAGATGTGAAAAATAGATTACAACCCTATTTTCTTAGACTTACCAGTGATTAAAAAGAGGTAGAAAATAGATGATAACTCTTTTCAGACTTAAACGAGACTTAACAGTGATTAAAATAAGTGGAAAATAGATAATAACCCTTCTCAGACTTAAACGGATAGAACCTGTGAAAATAATTTATTTAATATCTCTCTACCGTGCATCGCACGGGGTACGTACTAGTTTATAATTAAACGTCATTATGTTTTCTGGTTTACAAAAACGAACTAAGGTTTTATGAAACTTTAAATGAAAAATTATACTGGAACGTGCAATAAAATACGGGAAGAGTTGAGGCAAAAACTGCTATTTCCACATCTAATTGATGATATTAACATCCGAATTCCCAAAAATATATCATATGCTTAAAAGGAGACCAAAAATCGAACTTATGTATAATGTATGAGCATTTATTGTAGAATAATATGCTTGATATAATTCTAGTACACTATCTTGAAGAATAAAAAACCAGGTACCCATTTCTGATTTGAAAAGATAACCGAGCAATACAGTTCTAGAGGACGATAGAAACTAAAGGGAAGGTGCACCAAAAATTATGCAGCGACTTATTTTCCATCTCCACTTATATGTAACGAAAATTTTTGGCCAAGAAGANTCAGAAAAGAGAGGTGTGTGCTCACAGCTGAACTTCATAGATGTTCTGTAAATAACTATTATGTACAGGTTTTATGTTAAAAATTATATAATAAAACTTCTTAGCTGCCATAAGTACCGTTAGTACTTCATAGAAAATCAAACTGGGACTTTCTGGAAAGTGGGTTAGGGTTCCGCATCTGATTTGCAGCACCAAGCATAGCTGCTCGTCTTTTCAAAGCACTTTCGGTGTATTCACGCAGAGGAGGGAGAGAGTTCTGTTCTTCGTTTTTCTCTGCTTGTCCTCGAATTATCTATATTTTTCAGACCAACAAAAAATTGTTTAAACTAGATTAGCAATCGATAAATAATTAAATAATTAGTCAAATATATCTGTTTCATGATGTACCTTTGAAGCCCAATGTCTTTCTGCTTGCTGGCATACATCCCTTATATCACGACCCGACATTCTACACACATGAAATATGTGGTTTTTATTTTTTGGTTTCATTGAGTGAAGAGAGAAAAAAAGAAAAAAACAAGGTGCAGATTAACGGGTAAAAGGTAATAATATCTTTTGAACTTACTCTTCAGTAACAGAGGCAAGTTCAGCCATTTCGGATTTTTTCAGGTGCTTTGCATACTGAGCCACTATTGCTGCACGAGTCTGCTGGTCAGGTAGGTCAAAAGTGATCATCGAATCAAACCGGCTGACAAAAGGAGATAGAAAAAGAAAAGGGAGTTTTTTCAGTAAACGGTGGTTTTTTCGCTCAACAAGAAAAATAAGAAAAAAATAAAATTTAACTTTTCATTACCTAAGCAAAGCTGGATCGAGGTCCTGCTTTCTATTGGTAGCAGCAATAACCACTACTTTCTTCTCCTGCTCAAATCCATCAATCTGCAGACGAGAAAAATACAACATTGATATATGCCTATTTGGTGTTCAGTTCAATATGTTATGTCAAAGTCAAAGTCAAAGTCAACGGCACAATTTTCTTTTCATGAATTCTAAGCCCGTCAAAGGATATAAGCATTACCTGTCGCAACAAAACTGATAAGAGCCTACGCGTGGCTTCATGCATTTCACTATCACGAGCTGTAGCAACAGAATCGACCTGTGATGGGTCCCACCAAGAAGCATTTACAGGGCAGTACAAAAGATATTATATATTCCTTAGTTTCATATAGCACGTGTAACTTCTAACTGTTGCAAACTTTACCTCATCTAGAAAAACAATTGCGCCATCAGCGATTTCATTGGCAAGTGAGAAAACTTTCCCCAACAAACGCTCGCTTTCACCGTAGTACTTAGACATGATAACCTCTAACGGGACATATAACAGCGGGACCCCCTGCAAAAGGAAGACACCACATTTCCTTGTTGATGTGACAAATTCTAGTCAATCACACATCTAAAAACCAATATATTAACTCTGCGTTAAGGATGGACAGGGGGGGAAAAGTTGCAATAAAGCTTCAATTTTGAGCAACTAACGTACCGTTTGATTAGCAATTACTCGGGCACAAGATGTTTTTCCTGTACCTGAAACCAAATTTGGCAGGCAAGCAAAATTTTGTAGTTAGAAAAAAAAAATCTAAATTTTACCTCAATATATGGAGCTGATACCACCATGCATAAACAGACACGTAGTTTTGAGTCTAAAGAACATGTCAAAACTAACCAATTATTCATCGACGTTGGGCTCCATTATATTCCTATAAGTTGGAAGTTGACAGTGTAAGAAATATTACTCTAATGTGATTTTCACTTAACTAGACTACTCATGCTCATATACCAGAAAGCATGGGTTATTATTTCTGATCTCTACAGACTTCTTAAATTCAACCACTGACAGTAATGTTATATACTTCTGCTGCTAGTCTTCGTAATTCGTGCATATTGCTCAAAATCTCTTATATCCCAGAATATATCAACTGGTCAAACCTGGTGGGCCTTCAAAAAGCACAGCACGTGGTCTGTTGGTCTCGAACTTACACCGAGTACCTCTAGCAATATCGTCATACACTTCAGGACTCTTGAGAGCAAGTAACACGGTATCTTCTATTTCCCTATGAAATCAAAGAACCAATGGCGATAAAAACAATTAGATCAGCAACTCTACATAAAATACTGGCAATCTCATGATATCAAAAAGAAAAGAACATCTCCTATGACGGAATGCAGATGGCTTGAAGATGCACATTGTTTATTTTGGTAAAGTGACAAAGCAAGAAGATTGAATTTAACAAAATCAAAATGAATTGTAAGGCAACCTGAATTACCTTGAATTAAAGAAAAGAAAACCTTAACAGCCTCAATGAGGAGCTTTTAATTCAAATTATGCAAGTACAAACTCCTTTGAAAAAGCAATTCTGACAACTTCAGAAACTGCTAGAGTAATAAACATCAAAGTACACAGAAGTAAGGGCCCACAAAGCCTAAATACCGTTTCTGCTCATCATAGCCAGCAATATTTTCCCAGGTGATATCAGCGTTTGGCTGTTCTGTATCTAATTGTTGAAGGCCATAAATCTTGACACCCATCCCCTCTAAACTAGCAATTGTTTTGTCCTTTCCTGGTACCTTTGCAGGATCTCCCTTTGGTCTTAATTCCAAGCCTTTTGGCTGTCCTGCTAACATTAATATGGATGCCAAAGCATCAAGCTCCTCCGAAGTAAAACTCCCCGGCTTCATGAATTCAATTTCCTGCAAATTAGGCAAGGTAGCAATTAAAATTCCTTAGGGCTAAGCAATTATTATTAAAAAAAACGAGGTTATATATAAAAAGATGTCAAAATTGTGATAGGTAGAGAATTGATTTTTCATTTAGAAGAACTCACAGCTTTCTCGGAACTAATGAGCGGACGAAACATGAGAATGCATAACTCATCATTTTCAGTTTTATCATTTGTTTGATCTCGATCTCCACTGGTACTCTTTGGTGCTTTTGGACGACTTAGTGTTAGTTGCCAGGCAACCCCACTGGTTAAAGAATACATAATTCAAGTAATCAATTCTGAAGAGAAGGCATGCTTCAGTAGGAAAAACAAACTGATAGATGCATAATTCAATATTTAAGCCACCTGCCCCAAGCACGCAATGTCATATCTGATCCAACACCATTGTCTTCGGCCTTGACTCCGAGGCGTGAGACAAGATTTGTAATTAATAGTGGGATTTCACAAGATGGAGGAACTAGAAACTTGATTGTCACCTGACAATAAGCACCTATTAGGCCAACAAGTCCCACTCTCATTCCACTAAACAATTGAAGCAAAGAACATAAAGATCCCCAAAAACCCATAAAGAAGCGTACCAACCTTTTGTCCCTTAACAGAAACTGTAAATCGAGGATATGAACCAAATCGGACTCCTTTATTCTTAAGCAACTCTTCTAGTCGAGCTTTATCATTCCTCGCGATTTCCTCCAGGTCATGACTTGAGACAGGAGGAGACTTCATTGGTGGAGGAGTAGCAGTGGATTCAGGTGGAGGTGGAAATTTAGCAGTTGCCTATAAAATGTGCAACATTCTCATGAGTTATGACAAAGTCAATAGAAAAATTCAGACGCTATAAAGGCTACATAAAAAATGGGTAGTTCATTTAACGCATGGACAAATAGAATAAGCACACTAACCTCATTACTATCAGCGAAGGCTACATCTAACAGCCCAAATCCAAGGAATCCAGCTAATACTGCGTGAAAAGAAAGTTGACGCACTCTATCTGGTATCAGACCTTCGGATCCATACGCTTCATGGTGCTTAAAACTCCCTAATGGTACAAGTTAGAAGCACTTGTGATAAATAATTGGGGTTCAATTTTCATTGCATGAATAATAAAAGAAATGTAGTCAGAATACAGAAATGAGCGGTGCAAACAATTCCAATCCAAGCCCACATGTTGAAAATTCACAACATTAAACCTATTTAGGTTTACAGATAATTGAAAAGGCAAAATAAGTATCCTATTGTCTTTTGGTGAAATCATTAGCCTATGTGGATGAAGCAGATGCAGTATAAATACGAAACATGTTACTGTTCACAGTTCTGGCACGTGAGTAAGAATTTAACCCAAATGACTTTCCGGCAGCACATATATAGTAACCACCAGCTAACCCATACAAGTTACGATCAGTTTAAAGCTTGGCCTGACATGAAGATTCAGACATGTGCCACATGATGTGAATGTTAAAGTAGAATACATTTGAATGATGCTGAATTGCTGATGTCAACATACAACCATCCACCCATATAAAGAATATATGAACTATCTTTTTATCCCTAGTTCTTCCCTAAAAAATTTCAATTTAGAACCTTCTCATATTTATAGGACAATATAACCACTCAACTGATCCAATTATATAGACAGAGCAACTTGGTGCACCAATAATCTTATATGACATCTTACAGAACAAGTTAAATCAGCTTCAGGATAAGGACATGACACATGGAGTTTTGTGGGTTTTTAGGCAAAAAATTGAAAATAAAAAATTGATCACTTCTCTATGTCCAAGACAAATGCTTTACTCATCACATCATCATACAATATTTCAACCATTATGTCTAAAAATTATGTCAAGTTAGTATTTTTCCATTATGAATGTCTTTAATTTTCTGGTGTACCACACTAAGCTGCCACAGCAGTTGGCAAACGGGTAGAAGCACTATTATTTACTAGGGACTCATACATCCAACATAATTAATTTTGATGACTATCAACAGGACCTCATAAAACTCATATAAAAAAGGTTTTAATTAAACGAATGAACAAATTGCAAATTGAATAAATTTATCAATCATCAGGCAGTAACACAGTTGACAGTAGACTCCTCCTTGAAGGTTTCCAAAAGCAATTAAGAAGGCATAATATTCAGAAAGACTTAAGCTTTTCCGACCCAACAGCAGGAACAACCACTGAGGCGAATATTCAGCTATCATTTCAAGAACAACTACCGAGCTAAAAATCGTTCCCCCTTTTGAAAGCAATAGTACAGAAACATCCCCCAACAAGCACATATTCAGTTCCTAAATAGAAATCGACAAGATTGATTATGAGCCAAAAAGGTAAAAAGATGTTTAGCATACGATTGAAGACTGATGCGAAACGAGACGCAGAGGACGGAGGACGAGGGTTTAAATTTCTGGCGGATGCAATCGTACGGCACGACCGGAGTGTTCGAGCGAGACGGTAGATGGACGCCATGGAGACGGCGAAGGACAGCGGCTTTGTCGTGGCGCGCAAGATTCAGAGGAGGCGCGGTCAGCTGCAGATTACAGTGTGGTGCTCAATATAGAAGCACATTTTCTTAATCCACAAGTACAACCAGTTGGATCGAGCTGATGATAATTGTTGCTTGCAATTGGGAGGTCTGTAATTAGGGCCATAGAATTAGGGCATTTTTTTAGGGCATTTTTATTGGACCTATTTTAATTTAATAAAATTTCAGTCTTTTTACCATTGTTTTGTGACCCGGACCGGCCCGGCGGGTCAACCCGAGACCCGGTCGACCCGGAGTCGGAACCAGTCCGGGTGAGATATTTGGACCGGGCAACAAAGGACCGGTCAAACCCGGTCAAAATCCGGCCGACCTGGCCTTGACCCGGCCTGGTCAACCCGGTTGACCCGGTCCATATATATATATATATATATATATATATATTTATTTTTTTAACAAAAAAAATAAAACTATGTATATATGTTTATATGGTAAATATTTATCATGAGGTACATATTATTAACACTTTAATGTACAAATTTTATACACAAAACATTTAATTTTGTTACTTTTATGTATATTTATATGACAAAATACTCTATATAATTTTAAAAATTTTAAAATTAATTATCCGGTTCAGCAAGTGACCCGGTGACCCGACGGTTGAACCGGTGACTCGGTGACCTGCCCGGGTCGATTACCGGGCCGGGTTTAAAAACTATGCTTTTTACTTTTGAATTTTTATTTTATGTTATGAATATGTATAAAAGAATTATACAATAATATTTTATTACAAATAAAATACAACATCAATAAATTATTGATATGCTCGAAGATTTAATTTATATCGTTCATTTTTAATACTAATACTATAAATTGTAATATGCTCATTATTCAAATTATAAGTTTAAATATTACATACACACACATATAACATATAAAAAATTATTTGTATTCGGGCATGTGCACAATATCGCATACTAGTAATAAGTATTACGATAACTTAGAGACTGAATTGGAAGTTGATTTGTGGATTAAGAATTTAATAGCAAAAAGTTGTTTTTGTTAATGAAAAGAAACTCTCTCTTTATGTATAAACTAGTGTTGATACCCGTGCGATGCACGGGGTGCAATACAAAAAATATTTATTATTTAAATATTATAAAATTATTTAAGACAATATGAAATTATTTTCTCCACAATATTCTATTCAGTAATAATACGACGTTTATTTATTTATTATTATTGTAAATTTCTATTTTTGTATATTTTTTTGTAGTTTTTGACTATTTCATATGTAAATTTTATTATTTATGAGTTTATAAAATATTATAAATGTATAAGATCATATGATATTTGCATACAAATTATTTGTATGTACTTACAAAATTGTCGTTTATTATTATAAATGTATAAGATCATATGATATTTTCATACAAATTATTTGTATGTACTTATAAAATTGTCGTTAATAGTCTTATAATTTTTTTAACAATTCATAATTTGCACATTGCTTGACAATTGACCAACGTTCAACCCATAATATTTATCTTCTGCTATAATTATTAAGTGCATTAAATGTTAAAAACTTTGATAAACAAACTTTAATTTTTATTCACTTTAATCCTTATGCAACACACAAATTATTTGTGGTTAAATATTTTATTTTTATGTTTCTATTTTTATTTATATTTATTTCTTTAATTCATTTTTTCAACCTATATAATGAGTTACATAGTATCTATTCGAATATTTTGATATATTATATATTTTCATAATTACCAAGTGCTATAATCTAAATTATTATACATTGCTTTTTTATTAACTTATTTTTCATTTATAAAATAGTATATAAGAAAAAAATAATTTTTTTTTACAAATTGGATAGTTTTTAATGTACATAGGTACTTCTAAGGTGAAATTTATAATTCTGAATTGCATCCGACCATAAAATTTTATTTTTATTAGTATTATTTAAATTTTCAATACTATTATTACTGCATATGATATATTCAATGGGGATGATCTTTTTATAGTTAAATTGACTACATATTTGAAACTTTTATTAATATTTTAAATTATTTATTAAGTTATTATGATTTAAACATAGTTATTCTAATTATTTTATTAAATATTTTAAGTACTTTTGAATAGTGAATATAATTGATTAAATTAAAATCTACAGCCATAGATGATAATATATTTAATCAAATTAATTTCCATAATAATTTTTGAATATTGCCAATAAATTAATATTAAATTTATAGAAGATCTTACTGAAAATATATCTAATAAAGTTACAGTCAAAATTTCAATTTAAGCCAATTTGTCGTTAATGAGTAATAGTCATTGAGTGTATAAAAATTAATTATGTTTTTTATACATATGATTTTCTAATAAATAAATATTAATTAAATACAAAATATTGACGAAAAAATTTTCCGCCCAAAATCATGTCAATTATGGCAATAAGGATTGATCCATTATATAGATATAGATTTATGGTATAATTATAGGTTCGTATATTTATGGTATCATTGGGTGTTATTATCTTAATTGGTGGTATATGTATTTTTATGCGTTATTAAATATCTCTCATACTTAAAATTGATTTTTTTATTTTTAGAAAAACTGAAACTGAAATTTATTATTATTTTTATATAGATTTTTTAATTAAAATTCTCAATCAATAACTTTTAGGAACTTCAAAGGTAGCTGAATAGTAAGTGGCATAAATATTAATGTAGATTCCATATTAATTGGAATTATTAATTGAATACTAATTTGTTTAAGTTAATGCAAAGTGCAAATGGAAACACGCATCTAAAGTATTATTGACAAATACAAAAATAATTAAACTTATAATTACACAACCAAATGTAGAAATGTTGTCAATTATAGTCATTGCATATCATCTTTATTTAGCAATAAATTCTATCAACTCCCTCTTTATATATATAGAGATAGATGAAAAATGTTACCAGTATATAATAAATGTACATAGAGGTGTAAATTAAATTAATTGGTTATGATCAAACTTGGCGAGTTAAAGTAAATTATTTTAAATAGAGTAGATTGAGTGGATAATTTTAAATTTGAAATTAGATAATATTTAAAATATAATTATTAAAGTTAGTGAAGTAAAAGTAAGAGAAAAGTTATAAGAAGTGATATATAGTTGAAATTATGTGAGTAGATGAATAGTGGATTAAAATTGACAAAAATTCTATGGAGCCATCGGATGGTTTTTCTTATGGAGCCATCCATTCACTACAAAAATAAGGGTGAATTCCAACAAAAAATTCCAACAGAAAAAATTTCCATTGGAAATTCCAATGAACATTCCAACAACATAATTTTATGTTGGAATATTCCAACTGATATTAAAACTGTTGGAAAATTCAATTGAAAAAACACTTGAAAAATATTTTGAAGGTTTCCAATGTAAATATACCGTAGGAAATAACACTCACATGTGTCGCACTACTCTGAAATAACACTCATATACGCTTTGGAAATAACCCTACTCTGAAATGAGAAAAAATTTCCCAATCAAATTCCATGGCAGTTGAAAACTCATCATCGATCCATTGAAAATCCTCGCCGTTCTCCATCAATTAGAACCAGCCAAACGTCGTCAATTGGGAGCAGCAATTAGCCGCCAATTGAAAATTCGTCGTTGTTCTCCATCAATTCGAAGCAGCTGATCGCCGTCAATTAGGAGCAGCAATTCGCCGTAGATTAGAAGCATATCTTCGCATCAATTAGAAGCATTTGTTCGCCGTCAATCCCGCTGTTGTTCTTTATCAGTTGCCTTAGGTAACTTCGATTTCTCAAGCTTTTTGAAGTTGGATGTAATTTGATTAACTCCTTGAATTGATTTTTCAAGTGCGTGTGATTGTGTGTGCATATACATACCTTATCACAGTTACATATATCACTAGCAACAATATAATACTGATTAAGTTCCACAAAGTGATTAGGAATAATGCATAAACTTTATAGTGTCAATTTTGTGTGGAATTTGTACTTTCTTTGTTGACAATCGTGAGTTAAGCACTTGAGTTGGAGGATGTCGTCGTCCTTTCTCCTGATGTCCTCGTGAGTTGAAACGAGAGCTGCCTCCAGCTCGAGAGTTGAGTGCAAGACGAATTGTTTTAATTGCTCGACAACCTAAATGCGTACTGCCTCCAGCTTTTGTTACTTTTGTTAATATGTTGGTAAGGGGACATATGGTTGATGAGGAATAAAAATGGCCAAAAAAATCATGAGAAATGGTAGTGACAGTGACTGATTATTAAGCTCTCTATAATAGAATCATAATATTCATAGATAGATTCATAGTACACGAGAGGACCCTTTATTGCTAACATTTGTGTGCAAGTATTTAGGTGCATTTATAAATTATTTTATAAATTAGGGATATATGATTTTGTGCTAAATGTATGATTTTATAAAGAGCAAATTCCTACGGAATTCCAACGGTATTTTTCCGTTGGAATTCTGTCACATTTTCGTCAAATGCGCAGGAAGAATCATTGGAATATTCCAACAGACATTTTCCGTTGGAATGGCTGTTGGAACCAATTCCAACGGCTAATTGACCATAGGAGTAAGCGATGGAATAACTGTTGGACAATATTTCAATAGTTCAGAAATTCCAACGGATAATTTCCGTTGGAATGGCTGTAGGAATTTATTTCCATAGGACTTTCCGTCGGATTTTAGCTATTCCGACGGCCGTTTTTCCCACGGATTTTTATCTGTGGATTATCCGTTGGAATATCTATTCCAACGGAAAATATACTAAATTCCAACGGAAATTTTCCGTTGGAATGTGCCCATTTTTTTGTAGTGATTACTTCATATATTGACACATGTCCAAAGTGTATTTATTGCAGGACACGTGTCAATACACCATTTGTCAATAACTATGAAGGACTCTTCGGATGGCTCCATAGCAAAACTGTTAAAATTGATATTATGTGTAAGATTAATTGATTGAAATATTTAATTATATTTATAAAAAAAAAATATAAAATTGAAGAGTTTGGAGTTGGATTTTGATTTAAGTGAGTAGATATAAATGAATCTAACCAATTATCCAATCCTCCCCTACATAACTGACAGCATAAGGATTCCATGATAATGGATTAGTAGCTAACAGGCTAACAACTATTGTCCTAACATACTTCAACTTAAAGACGACCCTTAGAGCATCTCCAATGCTTAATGTTGTAGTGGTAAATTACATTCCACATCAACACATTTATTAATGTCACAACTTTTTATTCTACAATGTACAATGTGATTACAAATGTTGTGGTGATATGGACATAATTAATGTATACAATGTAGATAGGAATGTGGTTCATCCACATTCTCCTCCATACTCTATCTAGCCAATGAAGAGAAGAGAGAGAAATATTATTACCATTTTCAAACTATTTAATTATTTAATTAATTTTATTAATTTATATTAAAATTTTAATATTTGTTAAGTAGATAATATTATAATTAGACTACATTGTGCATTGGAGATGCTTTTTTAATTTAATAGTTGTGAAGTCAACATTTGTCCTACATGGTTCACAATCTATTTAATATTTTGACATTTGTCAAAATTTATCCAATAACAACATTAGAGCATTGGAGATGCTCTTAGTACAGTAGAACAGAATATCACCGCAAATTACGACGTGTATAGCCCCTAATCATGCTTATTGTTGGACTACTACAATTTTTGCAATATATATACGTGTATATATAATTAAATGTTGTATTTTATTAATTAACATAAATATAAATATGAAATTTTATGGTATCAAACAAACAATATTTATATTATCTTTATATGCATCTGGTGACATTTTATTCACTACACTACATTAATAGTAGAAAACCCGTATTCGATGTGATTCATCTATAGTAGCATAAATGAAAAATGATCGGGATAGAAAGATTTGAATTAATTGTGAGACTACATAATATGGGTGCAATTNGAACGAGATTGAGTTGGATAAAGTAAACTAATGGTTATAATGAAAAATGCGTGATGTGAAGAGTTATAATTTTTATTACTGATAATTATAATATTGGATTGAATAAACAGAAAGTTTTTATAGAGAAATGCTTAATAATAACTTGTTTATAATTTTAAAATAATATTAAGAAAAATGGGGGATTAAAAAGAAAAAGAAAGAGAATAAGATAAGTAAATAATTTTTCGTTTTTTAGTTGGTGGATGATAACATTTTTCACTAATTTTCCCACCCATACTACTTTAATTTGGACTAATAATTGGTTGGTTGTTCAAAATATGTAATGATTAAAAATTTAAAACGTACTGTTGCTTCTTGTTTGCAATTTAGTTGACTAAATAAATGGAAACAAACTAGGAAAACTACTGTTCATTTTCACAAGAAGCATCCCAATAGAATTAGTACGGTGCGATGTACAGATGTAAATAAAGTATTATAATTTATTTGTATTCATATAATATTAAAATTATAAATTAAATAATAATATTAAATTCTAAAAATAGAGTATTATGAGTTATATTTATGCATAAAATATTAAAATTATAAGTTAGATAATAGTATTATATTTTAAAATTTGATCATTAGTTAAAATAAATTATACATTTATATTTATGTAACTTTCATATATCACTTAGTGTAAAATATAATTACATAATTAATATTATATGATACAATAAAAAAAATACAATTATTACTCAATTAATATTTTATGATACAATTGTTACTTGTGCGACTTATATGTGTTATGTTATAATATTTTTCTTACTTATACTATTTAAGTACTTTAAAGTTTAAACATAAATATATTAAATGATAAATAATTATATTTTTGTATTTAATATTAATAAAAGGTTTTATTATTATTTTAAAGACAAATATAATTTATTTATTTTATACATATAATATAGATGTCTTATCGAAGTTCATAGACAGATAATTAATTTGATATATTGTATATGTAAAATTGATAAAAAAAATACAAAAGTTATTAACTTTTAAAATACATTTACAATTCAATAATTATAATAGAAAATGATAATAACATGAAATTAATACATCTAAAATGTCCATAAATAGTCAATATATTTTTGGATAATCCGGACTTAATTATTTTTGAATTAGAAGTAAATTAAAATGCAATTGGAAATAAATTAAAATGCATCCTAGCCAAATAATAAAGCATGAAATTTTGCCACATAGGATCCCAGAGCATGCGAGCCTGCCACTTAGGCTTAGCGCATTCGGTAACTATATATAAGGGGGATTGTGTAAAGTCTCATGAATTTTTTTTTATAGCAAAGTATTTTAATACAATTTAGTTAACACGTTTAAAATATCTAAAATATTATATGCGATTCTCGATTGTTACTTATTAAACTTTGTCAAATGTTGTATATTAATATAAGTAGCATCCATGCTACAAATAAACAAAAAAAATAAATAAATACAAATATGTATCAATATATAAACAACATATGAAATATATTTTAATTTGTATAAATAAGTGCAATAAATATTTTTTAGTTATAACAAAATTGTATGATAAAGGCATTAAATATTTTTTATTGGTTTACAAATTACTAACCAAGTTTTGAAATACAATTTTCTGTGTACCATAAATATTTTTCGTTTATATCATCTTAATCATAATTTTCACTTGAAAAATTAGCATTTTTCATTACTTAAGTCTTAATTAATTTATTTTCTACCATTATTTTATTTTTTTAGCATTATGACGATTTCATATATAAAATATTAAAATACTGCAAATATTCAAATTGGGGTGTGTAAAATGTAATTGACTAATTTCAACTTTTGAGATTTAATGTGGAAACTGTAACAACAAAAATAGTTGTCGTCAATTTTTAAATATTATTTGCATTTTTTAACATATCATTGATACATAAATGTTTTCAGAAAAATATGACATATAAATTGTTACAATAAAGTGAAAAATATTTTGGCCTCCCACTTTGAAAAATGAGTGTACCATAAGAAGCGTAAAAAGTAGAACAATATTAAGGCATACAATTTTGAAAACTAAATTTCTCGCAAAATGATAAAAAGTCAATTTTAAATTTCATAAAAAAAATTCTGTACATATAAGTCAAATTACTTAAATAAAAAGCAAACTTTTTTTTTTTCTAATTAAACATAACTCTCTCTCGATATACCGATACTAATAAAATAAAGAAATAAATGTTACTGATTTGATGTATAGCTAATTTACAGTCCGGAATAAGATGGAGGCAAGCATTAAACACTGATTAATGTAATACATATCCAAATATTTTTCTTGTCTAAATGCTGACTGAAAATTCAGAAAAGAAAAAATCAAAAAAGGAGAACCGAAACTAGTGGCTAAAACACTTTCTTGGTAAAGAGACTTTTCATATTGAACAAACTAATTCCACGTACCCCTTCACCGGCGGCGGTCCCCGCACTCCGACAACTCGAATGCTGCTTGTACCCAATACACGTCGGAATATTCAGACTCAACGACTTAGACCTAGAACGGCCGACGCCGCCTCCGTTCACGGACGGCGGCGGCACTTCCCGGCGACCCTCACCCCCATTTTTCCTGACAGCCGCCTCGAAGCTCCGCCTCCCGCCGCCGCGTCGGGCCTTCCACACTGGGCTGCTCCTCCCCACGTGGACCCCACGGGCGGGGCTGCCCGGCCACCTCCTCGACTTCGACTCGCCGGCCGAGTTGCTCCTCGAGCACGGCGCGCTGCTCGCCTTCCGCATCGCCGCCGCCGCTGGGGGACGCGGCAGGGATGCGCCGTTGCCGGCGGACCTGCTCCTCGAGAACGGCCATATGTTGATGTTGAGCTCCGCCGCCGTGGGACCACCGCCGGCGCCGTTCTTCTTCTCTCTCCTCTTCTCCTTAAAGGCATTGACGATCGTATCCTTCTCCTTGGCACCGGTCAGATCCTCGCCGTCCAAGTCCACGGAGGCCCGCGGGCTTTTCTTGTTGTTCCACCGGAAAATGTCGCTCCACCGCCGTGAGAAGGACAGAGTACTAGGAGCGGGCGGAGTCGGATGAGCCGATCCGGCGGAAGGGAGTTCGGGCCTGGGATCGGGCCGGGCTTGATCCGATGTGGATGGCTCTGGATCTTGAGGCGGCGGAGGAGCGTCGGTGGAGAGGCGGAAGTGGTGAAGGGGAAGGAGTACGCCGCCGGAGAAGAGCTGGTCGGCGGAGTGGAGATCGGGCGGGGAGAAAGAGGAGCTGCAGAATTCGAATTCCGGCGAGTTTGAAACGCCGGCCGATCTGCTGCAGGGCTTGAGAATTTGACTAATTTGAGGGAGGAACTCTGGTTCTTGCATTTTTCTGGACCACAATTATTTTTTTTATTTTTTTTTTTCCTGTTTTCGATTTTGCTATTCTTGATTTGGGGGAGTTGAAATAGAGTTTAGTAAGTGGAGTTTTGTTTAGGACAGAATACAAATCAACCACATATATGGAGTGACCGGCTGTATATGAAAAATCCGGAAAATGGGTTTTACCAGTAATGTACTAATGCTTTGACAACATTCATGTATGCAAATTGTAATAGGTCGTACTTTTATTTGTATGGTTTTCTCTCAATTTTAATAACACAAAAGCGTGTCAAATATGAACTGGCGACCAAAACAAATATAAATTTATCTTTATAAAAATAATATCTATACTTATATTAAAAGGTATACCATTTACCAGATTTAGTATAAAAAAAAATCAACAGCATTAATTGCATTACTATTTCCGTATTATACCATCTATACTTATATAAAAAAAGATTCTATTTATACATTTACTATCCAGAAAAGTCAACTGCATTAAATGCCATTACTATTTTGGTATTATAATATTTTATTTATTTAATTGATTTATTTATTTGTTTTATTTTAAAAAGGTAAGTATAATAAAAAGATTTTAATAATAAAAAAATCAAGTACCAAATAAAAATATACACTTTGACTTATTTGATTATATTTGGTATTTGATTATACCAAATATATTCTTATTTAGTATATACATTAAATACTTACTAAAGTATTTATTTGTTTTATTTGTCAAAGTTAAGTATAGATTTGTTTATATTATCAAATCATAAAAAAATATTAAATCCATATTGTAAAAAAAAATCATATAATTTTATAACAATTCTACTACACTATTTAAAAATATTTTTTTTATTATATAATAAAATAATAATTAAATATTATATGGTGAACAACAATAAGTAAAACCGTTACTTTCTCTTATATCAATGGATAAATTTATACGCTAAAATTAAATTTTTATTAGTATAAATGTTTTAGTGAGATAATATATTAATTATTTTACAAGTTAACCCTAACATGCTCATATTTAATGTTTTAAAAGATGTAGAAAAAAAAAACTTATAATAACTCTATTGTTTTTCAGACTTAAACGTTGATTAAAAGAGGTAAAAATTCCTAATTTTTTAGACTTAAACGTTGATTAACACCATAGATTGAGAGTTTATATTTAGTAAAATTCCTAATTGTAATAAAAAAATTAATTTTTGCTATATTTTAGAATATCTCTAAATTCATTATAAAAAAAGAAGAAGAAAAAACTACAATGAAAGCAAGTCAGCTATATATCGATTTGTTATACTCCTCAAATCACATTTACAATTTGGCTACAAGAAAAGGAAACTCATTGATTAAAATATTATTTTATCAGTAGTCTTAATGTACAAGAGACTTTAAGACTCCACTTGAATATTATAAAACTTTTATTGAACATTGTACAATTTTCTTGCGTATTATAAATTTTTATTGAATATTGCATCTTATAATATAATATTCTCCAAATAAATATATCTCGTGCTTCGCACGGGTCACGTACTATATATATCCCGTACATTTTTCTTTATTCATGTATATAATTATAAGCCTGGATAAATAGGCTTAAAATTGTGCACCCCGTGCATCGCACGGGCTCTGTACTAGTTTTAATTTAGAAGTGTATATATTTATTTAAAATAATATATTTTTGTTATCTTCAAAACGAGTCAATTGTCATATTGTATGTGTCGATGTCTCAAATCGAAGGATTTATCATTTATTTTTTTCTTATCAGACAGTAATAAATAATAGCTCAACTGTTGATTAAAGTTGTTAGATCGGGTCAACCAGTCCGGTATAGGTTCTAGCCCGGTAGTAGTGTTTGACCCTGTCGGAGCTCGATATGAGAGCTTGAGGTACATGTCGCTCCTATTTGCTAGCTAGCATCTAGGATCATTTGATGCGAACGAGGGTCGCCTTCTCAAGAATGCATACAACCGAGCTCGAAGAGCTCGTATCAAGGAGGCTCGGGTTGAACCGGATAACAGGTCCAGCAGCTCTCCCCAGCGACCTGGGCCACGCTGCGGGACATGCCGCGCTGTGGCGGATGTTCACTTCCACGCCGTGAGGAGCCTAACGAATCGACAGAGACTACAGCCTTGCAGATCGTCACGCTGCGGATCACACCACGCCGCGAGCCCTTCAGACCTCCACGCCGCGGAGCAACTCGCAGGAGTGCCACGACCCAACAGAGAAGACGAGAAGTGCAGGTGCCGCACCGCGGAGCTCTTCCACGCCGTGCCAGTCCACTAGTCTCACGCCGCGAGGCTCGCCGCACCAGTCCACCAGTCTCACGATGTCCGGCAATTTGTAGGAGTTATGTAGCATTTTTTCTTTTGAATTCCAGTAGAATCGTAGGTTGACAGAAGATCATCTTATCAGTCACTTGCGGAACAAGAATGTTGGTTCACAATCTAGATGGAAATGAACACCCCATCAGAACGGTTGTAGTGTCAACGGTACAGTTTATCTTGACTGATTAGTTGCACTAGTACAATTATGTATTGAACAGGATCCTAGAGAGGAGAAGTTCGTTTTATACTGATCGTCGTAAACGAACTAGGCCACAGTTAATTGTTGCGTTCTCTTAACCCGTAAGATATTAAACAGACATATACATGCAATATTTATTACTTTGGTTCACTTGGGTAAGATTCAGTTCACTGGATCAATAGTCTTACTGTCTTGGGTAATGTTGTTGTATGTATGATGTGCTGTTAGGATATTTACGGTCACCATATGCGTCAGTTTGATGATGTTCCCGAAGTGAGTTCATGAAAGATTGTTATGTTAAACCCTGTAGGTAGATTAAATTCCAGCATAATAATAATGTGATGAACGATTTTGGTAATATAATATATTAATTAATGCTTGATTGTCAGTAATCAAATTAATTAATGAATATTATATTTTAAACATGGGGAGGTAAATTGGGTAATTATTATTGGAGCAAATGTAATTTGGGATAGGAAAAGGGACGTCTATAATATTACGTTAGTGGAATATTATTTAAGTAATTGGAGGAGTGGGCCTGACCCACAGTTAGTCCATTACTTAAGAAGTTCTAATTCTATTCTCATAAGGATCCCTATTGTAGCTCTATATATACATCATTAAGCTCATGGAATAGAAACAGAAGAGAACAGAAAAATCCTACATGCGTATACACGCACAAACTCGTCTCTCTCTCTAGAATTCCATTCGAGCTTTATCTTCTTCTTGTTGCTCCACCGGTACAAGTTGTAGAGGTGTTCGAGTAATACAGTAGAAGATCCTGAAGGTAATCGAGACATCGTGATCAACTACCGGAGGACGACCGATCGCCGACCACCGTGAGCACCAGTCCGTCGCCGCGAACCCACGACCAGCCAATGATCACCGCCGCGACGAGAAGCCAAGCCCGCGACGGACGTGTTGCTCCCGGTCAATCCGAATCTGTCAGATTCATAAAATTTTAAGCCGTAAGTTTTCTACGTCAAACCTTAGAATCCGGTGCGCATATGTTTATGTTTATTATTGAATTCGTGACTTGTACATAACGAGATCCTCATAGATCCAAACAATATAATATTTAGCCAAAGTTGAAGATTATTAGAAAATATTTTAATTTCCGATATATAATATAATTATGGACAATATATTATATAAAATCATATTAGATATTCAATTAATTAATGAACTCAATTAAATAATCTAAATAAAGTAGAGTTCATGGATTGTGTAATTGATACGAGCTTACTGAGTGGATACATAATATTATTATGGTTAGGTGATAATGAGTGCAACCCTAGTGGTATATAAAGTTCTCATTGGTTGCGGTCCTCAATACACTAAGTCAAACACAGTTCTCTTTCTCATAATCAGAATTGAGAACCACAGTCTCGTCTAGGGAATAAGGCGATTTAGTTGAGGAAGACCATAAAACTGACCTCCTTCGTGTTGAAGGATGTGTTTGTGATTCAAGTTACGGTCACACATGGTGATCGGGTCCATAGATTGACTTAAGGTATAATAGACAACCTGATAAAAGGGTATGATGACAGAGTCATGTGGTCGATGCGACGACTTAAGGTCCTGCTGAGTTCTAGTAAAGAAGGAAACAAAATCCTACTGGGATTGTAAGTATATCTTGCCAGGGAATAGAAGATTTGAGAAACGTGTTATACTAGGAAACGAGATATGGATAAATCTCTTGCCAAGTGATGGGGGTTACTTGTGTAAAAGGACGACCTTCTTATAAAAGAGGTTTACAGGGTTTTTTTACAGTTAACGCATAATTCACATTGAATTCTCGTTTATAAAGTTCATGAGCTGGATCTAACTTGAACGTTAGAGGTTTTTTCGCTGAAATATCTCCCAACATATTTTGCAAGTCATCAGAGCTCAAGTTGAACGACGGTTCGTAACGTTTTCGATCTAAAAATTAGTCTAGGAGTAATTTGCGTATGAAACAGTGTTATTAGTTAGAAAGAATTACATAAATTATGAGAAATTTATTACAAATGAAGATAAAAATCATTTTCTAAGTGTATTGAATTTGAGATAGAATGCAATGATGATATTTGATATTGTTATTTGTCACTGATATATACAAAATAAAGGTAATTGAAAAAATACAATATTTTCCACGGGCTAGCACGCCTAACACA